TTTAAACCCAGTGCCGAGGATAGGCTACACGTACCCCTTAATTTGAGGGGAGGAGGGGGAAGAGACAGAAAATTTTGTATTCTTTTGTTAATTTTTTGGCAATCATCAGCCATATATATTTTTATAAAAAAACATATATGGCTAATGATTGCCGCCAGACATGAAACTCTGAGTACCAACAAAAAGTTGTATTTTTTTCATTTTAATACTAAATAATTATATTAGATCTGTTATAAAAATCTTTGTTTTTATAAAATTGATCACTTTTAAACGAACAAGAGTCTTTTTCTACAATTATTATACAAAAAACATTATACAAAATATACAATATATATATATATATATATATATATATATATATATATATATATATATATATATATATATATATATATATATATATATATATATATATATATATATATATATATATATATATATATATATATATATATATATATATATCATGAAATTATTAAAAAAAAAGGGTTCTCGATGACTAGACTACACACAGTTTTCTGCGAGTTTCCCTTGACTACATAACTAAAGGTTTATTTTTTCTTTTTTTAAGACTTATTTTACCTTTTCAAAATATAAACTGTAAAACTATTTTACTTACTATTTTATTACTTTGTACATCAAATATATATTCATGTTATTTCAATTATTTTGAAGCATTTTGACTGTATTTGCAATAAAAGTATATATTGTTAAAACTATTTGTAATAAAAGTATGCATTGTTAAAACTATGTAGTTGTAAAAAATATATGGAAAAAAAAAGTATATACTGTTTGTAAGACAAATTATTTACAAATACTACAAATTAAAATAAAAATTAAGCAAATAATAAATGACTACTATACAAATAATGGGAGTGCAACTTTTAACAAAATTCAAATAATGGTTTTTAAATATAGTTTCTCACATAAACTTTAAATCAATAGTGAAAATAAATAAAATATAAATGAGTGATGACAAAACTGGGTATAATTAAAAGTATATAAACATTTTTTCAATTGAGAAAATTACTTTTTTTAGTTTTCTTTAGAACATTTAATAGCTCCATTCATGAGAAAAATCAAAATTTCTTAAAATTATTTGGTTTCATAAAAAAGCTCCACGAAAAGAATTGCAAAATTTGCCAAAGTTTGTTTGAAATTTTGGTTTTAATTATCATTTCTTAAGGAATATTTATTTTTTTCTTTTAAAAAATATAAATCAAAAAAGGAAGCTGGAGATGAGTTGGTTTTACATTTAAACATAAAACAAACAACATTATAAACATTTACTTGATATATATTTAAACATTTATGTTAATAAGAGTGGCCTTAAGTGAGTAAAACAATTTTTGAAATTTATAAGACGTACAATATGCTTCTGCTAATAATAAAGTGGCTTTTATTTACTTTTATAGGTACTGCCCCATGCAATATTAGCATAATTAATATGACAGTGTATAAATGAGTAATATAGTTGAGTTAATGAGTGTTTGTTTAAAACGCTTCTTGCTTTATATATATAAATCCAATGCTTTTTGCCATTTTGTTGCATAAATGTCCGATGTGATTCTTCCATGATAAATTTTCATCTACAATGATACCTAAAAAATTTGTGAAAATTATTCTTTTTATTTGAATATTATCAATATGAAGAAGAGGCAAATCACTTAGAAGTATATGTTTTTTAAATTTTGGATGAAAGAAAATCGATTTATTTTTATCAATGTTGAGTGAAAGTTTATTTGACTTAAACCAGTCAGATATTTTTCTTAGTTCAATGTTCATATCATAAAAAAGTTTATTGATGTTATTATTAGATAGGAATAGGTTTGCATCATCAGCAAACATTATAGTTGTTAATTTTGCGACTTCATGGAGATCGTTCATATAAGTTAGAAATAATAAGGGCCCTAGTATAGATCTCTGTGGAACTCCACACGTTATATTTAGATAATCTATATTAAGATAATCTTGTGAAAAAGATCCGTCGACAAAGACAAATTGTTTACGATGTTTTAAATAGCTTTTTAGTTGTTTTAAAACATTACCGGTGATACCATAATGTTCAAGTTTTTTAAACAGTATTTCATGGTCAATTGTGTCAAAAGCCTTCGATAAGTTTATAAAGACGCCTTAAGTAAACTCTGATTTTTTAAATGAATCAGTTATACTACGAGTTAGATGAATTATTGCATGTTCAGTAGAGTTATTTAATTTAAAACCGTATTGATTTATGTAAAGTAAATATTAACAGCAAGATGATTAGATATTTGGTTGAACATAATTCTTTCTAAAATTTTTGAAAAAACAGAGAGGATAGATATTGGTCGACAATTACTGACATTTGATGGTTCACCTCCTTTAAATTTAGTCGTTATTTTGGCTATTTTCAATTGATCAGGGAAAGTTCCTTGATTTATAGAATATTTAAAAACTTTAAAAAAAAATGTTTTATGGTATCGTATGAATCTATGACTATATTACAATTTATATCATCAGGACCAACTCTTTATTAGTTTTTAACATTTTAAAAGCACTTTCAAATTCTGAAGAAGATTTAAATTTATTTAAACTAGAAATTAATGGAAACACGTAATCATTTATTGGATTAATCATATTTAGAATATTTTTAGCTAAATTTTGGCCTACAGACACGAAACTTTTATTTAATTCTCTTGCTATTTGTTTGGGTTCATATAAAAATACGCCATCAACTTTTATAGTGTTAGGCACAAAGCATAATTTTAATTTACTATTTCCTGTAATTTAACTTATAATTTGCTATGTGTGTTTTGAATTATTTTAAAAATAAGTTTATATTTTTCTAGCAAATCATAGTATCTTTTTTTAAATTTTTTTCTTAGACTTTAACACATTTTAGCATAATTTTTATAAATAATTTTATTTTCTGGTGTTGATTTTTTTAAGTACTTTATATACAATTTTTGCTTTATTTTTGAGGATTTTCTAATATCTTTATTGACCCATGGTGACTTTAAAATTTTATTGGTTATAATAAACTCACGTTTCGGAAAATTTACATCATATATTTATTATATATTATTATTATATTTATTATTATATTTATTATTATTTACATCATATATTTATATTAGATCACAGAATGAAATCAATTTCTGCAACTTTTGGAAACCAAGCTTAAAGCTTAGTTTTCAATAGTTGTAGAAATGTTGTACAACAATTCTTGTTGATTCTATTTCCGGAGCCTTTATTTTAAAACGTTGTTGAACAAAGGGTTAGGACTATTGTTATTGTAAAAATCAAATAAAATAACAATTACAATACAATAATATTGTATTGTAATACCAGAGATGCAATTAAATCATTATTTATGGTTATTGTATTGCTGTAAATAAAAACAGTTACAGTAACTATTGTATTGTTTTTTTATTCTAGCAATACATTGAAGCTCTAAAACTATTGTATTGTTTTGCTGTGATGTAAAACAATTACAATAACTATTGTATTGTATTGCTGGGATAAAAAACAATTACAATAAGTACATTGATGTATTATATTATTATTTCAAAGTCTAATAGCTATTGTATTTTATAGTATTTAGACTCTTTTTTCACAAATTTATTATTATTTGGGCACTAGATAATTTAGGGGTGCCTGTGACGGTCGTTTTCAGCAGTCATTTATATATATAAATTTTATTTATTTTGAGAAATGAAGAGAAGCCAGGGAAGCCAATGAAGTATATATATATACTACGTATACTTAATAAATATTAGGTTTCTAGAAACCATTTACATATATATATTTTATTTATTTTGAGTTCAATAATATAACTGTTTCAATAATAATTTATTTAGAATAACATTAATAATATTCATTCAAAATCATACAAATATATAATTTATCTATGCTTGTAATTAAATAACTATTTACTTTAAGAAGTAAAATTTTATATTTTTTTATAATTTTGTCTAAACTGATATTGACATGTTTCACCGGATGATGACGTCTAAATTAATTGATTAACTACATTAAGCGCTTTTTTTTTTAATATATCTAACCGCTAATGTGTAATCAATTATATCGTTATGGAATCAAAGAACCATTAACCTGAGTAATTATTAATTAGATTGTCTGAGAATGTGAACTACTTTTATTTTGTTAAAATTTTTTTTACATTTTCAGATTGTTCATCACTTATCAGACCGTACCAATAAATTTTGTGTGGATCATTTTTGAAAAATGAGGCAGTTTAGAACACCAAATAAACATCGGTTCTTGATTTATGTAACAAAACTCTTTTATAACTTTGCAACTAGATGTCCAGTTACTTTATGAAACACATACAGCCATAAAGCCGAAGAGAGACAAAAGATAAAGTTATATTAGAGTAAATGTGAGCTGAGTAAGTTTTGAAACAATTGGATAGGTGCCTAATGTAAAAGCAAATAACTTAGTGGAAGAAATGGTAGTAGTTAATTATGTCAATCCCCAGGAATAAAAGAAATACAGGCCCGATTAAACTCACTTTTATAGAGCTATATAAAGTTTATAAAATAAAAAAGAAACAGAATCAATACTCATATATTAGTTGTACCCTATTTCAAGGTCACTTATCTCAGAGACTAGACTGTTAAAACATTTATTAAATTTTGACTCCAAAATAATTTTTTTTATTACAATAACAATATATTGTTATTGTATTATAAAGACGAATTACAATACAATATTTATTGTTATTGTAGTGGGTCATTACAATACATTTTTTTTTCAGATATTGATATTGTTTTATAAAGATATATTGCAATACAATATTTATTGTTTTTGCATTACATTATTACAATAGTTGTAAATCACAATTATTGTTATTATTTCTAAATTAAGTTAATACAATAACAATAGTTATTGTTACTCTTATCGTTTTCATAACAATTACAATAGTCCTAACCCTAGTTGAACAATTGTTGTTCGACATTTCTACAACCATTGGGAAACCAAGCTTTAGCTTTCGGTGCCGTAAAGTAACATTAGAATCCAGACCTTTAAGTCGCGATTGTTAAGCTGTTGTCTTTAAACGCTTATGAACGCTGTATCTTGATGCTCCTCAGTTTGTTTTGCTACGCCAGATTTTGCCTTCATATTGCGCCTTCCTTTAATTTGGTATTTATTTATATTGTGTTGCAAACTCCACGCTTTAATATTTTAATTTTTTTCAAATACCTTCCACAGTCATTCCAACTAAAAAATTAAATTTTGTTGAAAGTTATACAAGGTATGTAACATCCTTAAAATTAAGGTGTGCTCCTGTCATATTACAAAAACAATAATTTAAAAGAAATATAACTATTGCTAAAATGTATTTAATATAGTTTAATGTGTTTGATCATTTTATGCATGAAGTTTAGTGTGAATACTTTTTTAAATTATTACATTTTCTAATATGCATTACTATGTTTTTGAGGTTCACTAGTCAATAAGGCAGTATCTCTCTAACTTTATAATTTATATATCTTACTTAAAGTTTTAATAATAAATCGATATTTCTATACAACTGTGTATTCTTGTTTAATTAGTTATACATGCTTCTATTTTCTATTGCCTAGAAATTAGCTTGAAAACATAATCTTAAAAATCATAGTAAATCTTTTATTTATGCACATTTCAAAATAAATGATCATACTTATAAGTTTATTTATGTGTACCTAATGATACAAAAATTGATAGTTTCATATGTATATTTTGTTATATTTTTAGCAATTAATTTCAGTGTTAATTTGCTTCCTCCGATGTTGATTAGCTTACTTCTATAATTACTTTTAATTAAATAAGTTTTGGGAATAGTTAAATAAATTTTTTGCTGAATAATAATACATAAATATCTTAAAATCAATTATAATTAATTAAAATAAAAATACTCTAAAACCTGTTAGTGCAAATAAGTGCACCTTCATAAACTGATGCAAAGTTGTATATAACTATTAAAGTTTCACTCTTAAAGTTGTGGAACTTATTAGACTTTATAGGTAAAAACTATCAATAGGAATTTTATTTTAAGATTCAATGAAAGTAATCAGAGCTTTTATAAAAGTATTTTGATGAAAATTTTTCATTTAAACTTCAAAAATAATCCATACTTATCAACGGAGAGAATAGTGTGAAAATTTTATAAAAAAATAAAGTTTAAACTTAAAAGTTATTTACATTTGGTTTATTTGTATTTATGGTTGGTGTTAACAAAATAGTTGGAATGATTGTTTTTAATATATTAGGAAATACACTTTTGTGCTTTTGTTTAAAACAATTTTTACATTACTTAAAATAACTAAGGAAATAATTTTTTTAGTAGAATTTACCTTTCTTTTTTGTCTTTTTATTATTTATATTTAAATTACAAGTTTAGCTAATTCTTCTAAATTTCTATGTAGCATAAAGTTTCAGATTTTTTATAGTATATTTATTGTAAATAGGTATTTATATTTTAGCTATTGAGCAAAGTTAGCGTGCTATTAGCAAGCATTCCTGTCAAGTTCGCTGTTGCATTGCTTTGCTACGCATTTCTACAAACTTTCTGCGGACTTTAGTGCGGCGTATTAGTTAGCGCATAAAGAATGTCAAGCAATGCTAGTAATGAAGATAAACAAAATAAAGGCACATGTCGAGATTATGAGCGAGGAGTTTGTAACCGCGGCAATAGGTGCAAGTTCTTCCATCCTGAAGGAGTATCACAGCCTGATCAAAAACTTCCTATTTGTAAAGATTTTCAGAACAAAGGTTGTGATAGAATGAAGTGCAAATTTTTACATATCACTCAAGAAGAAGAAGCTGATTACAATAACACTGGAATTTTGCCTGCGCATGGAGGTCGATCTGATAAAGTGCGAGCGTTAATGGGGCCTTTGGGTGGTGTGGGTTTAGGAGGCAATAAGTTTCAAGGTGGTATGGTACCTGTTGGTGGCGACGTTTGTAAAGATTTCCTAAACAAAATATGTCAAAGAGGTAACAGATGTAGATTCCGTCACATTTCAGAAAGAGAATATCAACTTGAGCAGCAACTTGAGGCTGTTAGTTATGGTTCTGCAATGGGGGCCACAATGTATGGCAAAAGAAGACGTGATGATTTTAGTGACATGGGTGTCATGGGTGATTCTAGACGATTAATTGATGAAAATGAACTTTTAAGAAGGAAAATAACCGATTTGCAAAGACAAGTAGTTGATTTACGACAAATGAATGATACTTTGTACGATCAAAATACACGATATCGAAATCAGTTACGTGGTATCACAACCACACAGCCAACATCAGATCCATATTTAAATAAAGCTTATTCTGCATCTTCCATGTCAGTTGCTACTGCTTCCTATGATGGTTATACCAAGTTTTAGCTGTTTTGTGTGTTAAAAAGATATTTTGTTAAAGTTTTTTATGATATCAAAGATTTCAGTAACAATCTTGTTATTATCATAATGATTTTTCGCTATTATCTCAACTTGTACTTATATAAGCTGTTTGACTATGGCACTAAAAGTGAAATTTGATTTTAAAAAGTCTCATTTTACTGATTTCATAATTGTTTTTGCAAGTTCAGACTGATATAAACTTTTTTCTATTGATTTATATTTAATATAATTACTTTATCTTGTCGTATTACATCTTTTATATTGTTTAAACCAGGATGATTTAAAAAATATCTGTATATCGAAAAATAGCAGTCAGGCAGTCTTAAAACTGCTTTTGATAGTAATTGTTAGTTTCTCTGAATAACTAACTGAATTTTTATTCTTTTAAAGAAATATTTCAATTTTTACAATTTTCTAAACAATATTTAAAAACTCTTTTCTCACTAAAAGGTGTTTTTAATCAATTCTTTTTCAAAATTTAAACTTTAAGAAGCAAGCGATAAGGCTAGTTTTCAAATTTAATTGGTTTTTAAAAAATTGGTGTATTCATAACTTTTAGGCGAGGATTGGTATGCCAAAAAATTTAACATTCGCTCAAATTTTTTGATCTAATCTTTATAAAAATATAAAAATTAATCTGTTTGTTTCAAAATAAAAATAAATTTTGATACGCTAAGCGTGCTTTAATCATAAATATGAATACCAAACAAAAATTTACTGATGATTTAGTTATGTCGATTTTGCTTTGATTTTCTGCAATTTTGTTTTTCATATAGTTAATTAAAATTTAAACACTGCTTTAAGCGTCACTTGAAAAATTTGCATTAATAATAAGGAAAAGTTTTTTTATATCTACTCTAGTTCAATTGAGGGGGCAACCTCAATTAAATAAGAGTGAATAAAAAAATGAATTTTTTTCTTATTATTAATGCAAATAATTCAAGACTCCGAAGAATTGTCCTAGATCTTTCAAATAATTTTTAGTTAAAATCTATTTTTCCTTTAATCTACCGCAACGCGTGTTTAAGATGAAATATATTTTTTGAATGAGACGAGGGAAACTAAATTTACTACAGTTCTTATTGCGCACAGTCTAGTACTAAGGGCATATACCAACAAGAAACTTTTTACCACTAATTACTATTTAATAAGAAAACAACGTGCAAACCAAAAAATTAATGATAATACGAGCGGAAAAGGTATTTTTTTACCTCTATTTTAACTAATTTAATTAACAAAGAAGTCTTGAAAAATATGATGACACAACGTGATATATTTTTCGGCGTCCTAATTCAACCTAATTTTGAAATTTCGTAAATCGTTGATAATGAGTTTTTTGAATTTCAACCGACAATTTTTGATTTTTATAATTAAAACATACTATTAAATTTCCAATCTACTAAATCGTTGACCTGAATATTCAACCTACCATATTTTTAATTTTTTAACTACAACTCTCCGGTATTTTGAATTGAATACGAACCAAATTTGATCAACCTTGGCACAGTAGATAAAGCGCTATCTTAAGAATCGGGAGGTACAAGGTTTGATGAAGGCTCGGAAGACTTATTAACCTGTGTGATATAATTTCAAAAAAACAATGTTAAAAACACAGACCAGATAATCGGTTGAAAATAACATAAAGTAGGACGAAAAATAAAGCGGTCGAAATTTCCAATTTTGACAAAACGTTGTTTTCGAAAACGTCGGAAATCGATTGAAATTAAAAAGGCTACAATCGGTTGAAAACAATTGAACCTGTCATTTCGAAAAGGGCACAAGTCCATTTACTAAATATTTTCAAAATCAACAAAGAAATGATATTTATTAAAATAATATCTAGGCTGCTTAAGAAATTAAACACAAGTAGATAATTAAAGATTCGATTGCTTCTAACTACAGGCCTATTTCTATTTTGCCATGCATCTCAAAAATATTAGAGCGCATAATGCACAATAGGCTAAACAATTATCTAATAAACCACCACCTACTAAATAATAACCAATATGGCTTTCAAAAACACCATTCAACAGAACACGCTAAAGCCAAACTTGTCTAATGAAATTTTAAATGGGTTTGACAACAATAAATACACTCTTGGGGTATTCCTCGATCTCTCAAAAGCGTTTGACACTGTTGACCACGAAATTCTTTTTTATAAACTATATAATTATGGAATAAGAAATAACAATTTAAAATGGTTTCGCTCTTACCTTAATAATCGGAAACAAGCTTTATCATATAACAACATTGTAACACGACTTGAAGACATTACTTGTGGGGTCCCACAATGATCAATTCTTGGTCCATTATTATTCCTCGTTTATATTAACGATATCTACTTATCTTCTAACATACTTAACTTTGTCCTTTTTGCCGATGATACGCAAGTGTTCTTTAGCCACACAAACATTAGCCTATTATTTAACACTGTTAATCAAGAACTTGAAAACCTGAACGAATGGTTTAAGGCTAACAAACTCTCCTTAAATGTCGAAAAAAGTAAATATATTTTTTTTACAAAATTATCAAAATCTGAAACCCTCCCCTTAAAACTACCTAATTTACTAATTGATAAAACTAAACTTAAACGAGAATACTCAATCAAATTTTTAGGCGTAATTCTTAATGAACATCTTAGCTGGAGTAATCATATCAAAGTAATAGAAAATAAGATATCAAAAATTATTGGTATTATGTATAAAACAAAAAATCTCCTAAACACAAATTGCTTAAAAAATATTTATTTTGCATTTATTCATAGCTACATCACCTACTGCAACATTATCTGGGCAATTACTTATCCTTCAAAGTTAAATATGATCTACAAAATACAAAAACGAGCCATTCGCTTGATATTAAATGCAAATAAATACGCTAGTGCCAGACCACTACTAAGAGAAATTGGAGTGCCTAATGTCTATGAAATAAATATTCTTAATATACTTATTTTCATATTTAAGTTTAAAAATGGTATGCTACCAAGCATTTTCCAAACTAATTTTTTTTCTTTAAACCACAAATACGAAACTAAATACTCAACTAATAATTTTATTATACCAAAAACATTATCAAAACAAGCTGATTTTTCGATATCTTGCCGAGGGCCGCGGTTATGGAACTTGCTTTTAACAAGTAATATAAAAACTTTAAATTCAACTCAACATTTTAAACGTGCAACAAAACAACACTTATTTGGTTTTGACACAAAGCAATTACTATCGTATTATTAAAAACTTTTGGTAATCTTAGTTATTTAATGTCTTATAAATTGACTCAACATCACAATTATATTGTATGGTACTTAGAAGATGTACGATATTATTTTATTTTACAATAATAACGTAATTTGTAAATGCAATATTTATTATATCTTACGCAATTTGTAGATGGAATGTAATACAGATTTATTTGATTTGTATGTATATATGAACGGACATATATTTGTGTGTACGTGTGCGTATGTGTGTGTGCGTGCGTGTATAATAAAAATAAAAGTAGAATAAAATAGAGAATTAAAAAAAATAATAATAATGAGAAGAAATAATTTTTTTTTTTTTTTTTTTTTTCTGTAAATAATAATTTGATTTTTAAGTTCTTTTCTTCTTAAAATCAGTTCTTGCTTTAGTTTCTTTTTTCCTTTTTCATTTTTATCGGCTGAATTTTTTAGTTATATTAACGGGGCTGGATGATAAGATCATGTCTTCTGCCAGCTCCGGTCGAAACTTTAATGTTATAATTTTTATGTTGTAAAAAAACATTGTAAAAGATTATTCATTTAATGACGAAATAAATAAATAAATATAAAATATATAAAAAAAAAAGAACGTATATAACTTATGTAATTTTTATTTTTTTATAAAAAAAGCATAAATCATACAGAAATTTTTAATTTAAAATAAATGTTAAAAGTTTTAGACTCGTGTCCTTTTCGAAATGACAAGTTCAATTTAGGCCTCAGCAGGTTCTGATTTGAAAATTAGTTACATTTTTTAGTAGATTTTCTTTTTGTAGAACAACTTTGTAGGTTGAGAATTTTGTAGGTCAAAATATCTGACACGTATTTTTCTTGTAATTAGTTGTTTGCACATTTTTCAAAAGCATAAAAAACGTAAAAATATAATGGTGGTCTTACATTTTAGGGGTTTTTTGTTTAATTAAAATAAGGCAGGCATTGTAAACAGTTGAGGAAACGGTGAAAAAATAATCTTCTTCCTTGTAATGAGTAGTTAGGAACTTTTTAAAACATAAAAGGCCTAAAAATGTATAGGTCGCATCGGGTCGTCATGTTTTTTATTGCTTTTGGCTTGAAATGTTGCGTAGAATTGCGTAGGCTTAAAATGTTGCGTAGGCTTTTTTGAAATATTTATAAACATTGTTGTAATTGCGGGTTTATGTTAAATTTAATGAGAAAACTTTCCGTGGATTCATACCACCCAATTTTGACTGACTAATTTTACGAGCAACTGCATTACGGCGGGAGGTTAAGCGCCTGGGTTTTTCAAGTTATCTTTACAACTTGTCCAAATTATTTTGCAAATCCATGTAAACCAAGCCTGGACTAAAGCTTCGCAAATCACCAATACAATGTACAATAACAAAATATTTGAAAAATTGTAAACCATAAACAAAATTAATTTATGATTATTCTTGTATTTAGGCGTAAAATATCAGGAACAAAATCTAGAATTGTATAAAGTAATTTATTAAGAGTTTCTGTAACGTTAGGATTCTTCCAAAAAGTACGTACACAGGTATAATTAGGGGGGGTTTACCCAAAAACATACGAATGTGTACATGTGTGAAAGGGTTTTAAAGATAACGATGTGTGAAAGGGTTTTAAAGATAAAAATATGAAGTTTAAAGGTAATGATACGTTACGGTATGAAGTTTAAAGGTAACGTTAAGGTAAAGTTAACGTTGAATCTGTTATAACAGATTCACAAAAAGCAACAAGCTTGATGATAAAACCATGTAAATCCAAAAACCTTGCTCAAGTGAAAAAAAACTTAGAAACAAAAAACGAAGTAGTTCATTTAGTAACAACGATGGTTACACCATTCTAATAAACTTTTCAATTCTTCAGAATGAGCTTATAAAATTTAATTTTTTGTCCTAAATGTAGGAAAACAGTAACTTTATCAAACAACTTCCAAAAAAGAAAGGGATTTTCTGATCTTCTATGTTTGAATTGCACAAATTGTGACTGGAAATATGATTTTGAAAGCTCACAGAAAACAAAAAAAACTT